TGGTTTTCATAGAAGAGCTGCTGTTGTAGAGGATCTTGAAGTCGTAGTTGGAGCTCTTCTTCTTCTCATTCTCATCACTCGATCAACTACCAGTGGGAAACAGATAAGGCTGCTCGCTGAAGGTGTGTTCTTCCTTTTACATATTTTCTCTTTCTAGATTTAGGGGCTGTTTGGTAGAATTTAGGATTTCATTTAAGTGGATTTCGTAAATCCTTCAAATCCCGGATTTACGAAATCCTGAGGGGTTAAATCCTGAAAACTGTTTGGTAACATTCATGATAAATCCAGTTAAATCCTTTGTGACTGTTTGGCTATTCATTTTAGGATTTAAGGCGGTTAAAAAATTGACATACTTTATTAAGATAATTAAAGCACGACAAAAAAAGTTTAAATAAAATATAACAAAATTTTATTAATACTAATTAATTATTTAATTATTATTTATAATATTTTATAATAATTTTTTTATTTAAGATCATATTTTAATCCTATTAATTATTTTGAAATAACTAAGTATTTTAAATCCTGTTAAATCGAGAGAAGATGTTTTACAACATATTACAGGATTTAAAACAGTTAAAGATTTAAATTGTATGATTATCAAGATTATTAAGTTCAAATTACTTATTAATTTTTATTACACTATTAATTACCCTATTATATATTTAGTAATATATTTTTTAAGTTATATTAATTAAGCTAATGATATTATATTTAATTATTAATATATCATTAATTTTTAAATTAATTTAAATTAGATAAATATTTTATGAACTAATTATACTATTAATTTACTCAATTATTATTATTTTAACTTATATTAATTAAGTTAAGCAGTAATAACTTCAGAGGCGTATCGGGTTTGCCTTTCATCTTCTCTTCGGCTTCGTTGTCTTCGTTGCTTCGCAGGAGGTGTAAAGATTTCACGCGTCGCTTCTTCGGCTCCTTCGTCCTTCGTGGCTGTTCGACTTCGCTCCTTCGTCGACTTTCCCTTCCTATCGGATCGGAAGTTACGACATTTTGATCGGATTCAACAACGGGAGCTCGCTTGCTGTGAAGTAACTTTCTCCCTTTCGCGCGCTTCTTCGGCCAAATCCCCTAAATCCGCCGAACCAAAGGATTTCGGAAATCCGGGATTTAGAGCGAATCGGCGGAATTTTCCGTCAACGGAGGATTTCGTTTGCCGTGAGATTTGGATTTGCATTTTAGGCCGTTTGGCTGGATTTCGCCCAAATCCGGCCTTAAATCCGCCTAAATCCGCATACCAAACAGCCCCTTGGATCTGGTCCAACCTACTGGCAGGCTGAGGGCTGAGGGCTGAGGGCTGAGGGCTGAGGGCTGAGGTCAGGGACCTGAGAAGAGAACAAACGAGAATCCTACTTGGAGATTTCTAGGGTTGTAATTTCCTTTCGCCAACATTTTGTGAAATTGGTAAATTTTGATGCCATGAAGAGGTACTAGCAATCCCGAATCTTTATAATTTCGTCCTCTTTCTCCTGTGCCACTCTAGAATTCTAAAGGATTTGTTAATCAACTATGTGTTATTTGAAGCGGCTGGGGGAGGAGAGGAGCGAGGCAGCCGAAGCACCTCGGCGGTGGGCTGAGAGGGATGGCGTGTCGGTTGTCTGTGGTGATGTTCGTTCTGTTGATCTGCACCATCTTGCTTTTCTCGAGGATCTGGCATTCAAGTCCTTCCAGTCGGATCCAGGTTTGGTTTTGGCTGCTTGATTTTTTACCCATTTTTTCCCTTTGAATTATTATACTGGTTTGGTTCTTGAATTATATAATGGCAGTATGATTGGTGGAGAAATTTTAATTATTGCTAAAATCAAGATTATCCTTTCATGTTTCTTTTTCATTGGGCTTCTTTGATTCCAGAACAATAGTTAGCTTTCTTAGAACCGGCTAGAAACAACTGGTGTGTTGTGCTGCTAACATGCTAGAAGGCCAACTTGGTTAGGTACTTCTACTTATTTTACTCTTGCAATCTCTTTATAACTCAAAGGGCAATTCCACATGAGCTACGATTCATTAGCCACTTGGATAGTTGGATATGTATATCCCACACTGGGGAATTGTTGCAGTTGAGCATTATCTAAGTATGATTGGGATGTATGAGTAACATGAGTTTGTGGAAACCATAGTTCATTGCTATCTGATCGATTAAAAAGCCTCATATTTTTAAATAATCGGTTCTTGTGGGATCAAACTTGCCTTCTCTCGGGTGCTTTAGTCAACATTTTCCTCAAAGAGAAGGGGATAATGGATTTCAGGAGATTGTTTTGATAGTCATCAAGCATAAAAAGGATGGTCTTTGCTTATGGAATAAACAATATCCTACTTCTAAATCATTTTTCCAAAACAAGAAGTGTTGGTCTTAATCAAAATAAAAATTCATGTGAAATAAAATTTATTATGGTTCAAAAGACTTATTATGTATAAACATTATGAAGTTTTGTCATGCTATTTCAACCACCCATTTTAAATTTTTATGCTTGATCTACAACCGCTTGACTATTAAAGTCAATCAATTTTTTCTCTTAAAATTTTGGATATTTAAAAAGAAAATGGGCAAGTTAATCCCACCATAGGAAAGATGCATTTTTCATCATGCGCACATCTTTGGAATTGCAATCTTTGTGATATAGTGTGAACAATATAAAAATAGATGTAACAAAGAAATTTTGAGAAGAGTGGAGCAGAAAACTAAGAAAGAAGAAACCCAATGATTTCTCAAGCTATTGATGTTGAAACCTTAAAGCATAGAGGGATAGATTCTCAACATCAATGTTACTAGTCATGAAAGCTATTTCATTTAATAAACATGGTTGGATTATTATTGGTTTTGAGAAGATCATTTTATAGTAGGCTCTCAAATTATAGAACTTCTAAAATACCCTTGACAAATAAAAATACTATAATTATTGAACATCTTAATTATCTAAATATCTTTAAATGTATCTCAAGTGCTCATTAGCTTGTTAATCTTGGTTGTTAGATTAGATGACAGAAGTCAAACAATAGCTTGTTTGCGTACATCTTCATATATTCTCGATATGATACATCATTTTGTTTCATTTGTGCGTATATCTAAGAGGTGAGGCTAGGATCCAAATTCATTGAGCATTTAAAAGACCTCAAGCAACTGCACATATGCTAATTCTACAAATGGTATTATGCATCTTTGGTTGCAAAATTATTTTGAAGAAAAAGCTTGGTACAATAGTAAGTTGTCTCCATTGTCACCTAGAGGTCATTGGTTCAATTCATGAAATTAGTCTATTTACTATGGAGAGGTAAGGTTGTGTAGATTAACCTCTCATCAAACCCTACATTGGTTGGAGTTTCATGCAATGATATGTTTTTTATGTTTCATTTTTTTAGTAGGAATAGAAGCCCTACCATAAATTACTATCCAAGGGATCATTATTAGGCTCATTCCCCTAAATTGTAGGTGGCATATGCCTCCATCTTAATTGCAAATATCTAATACTGTGCATGTAATTAACTTTTTTTATCATAATATTACTTCTAAAATATCTCATTTGTGATAGTTTAAGCTAGTGCCACATTCTATCTTGGTGCTTTTCTACCTTTGTGCAAGGATAGGTACAACTCATGAGTTCAATGTTAAGTAAAGGATAAACATGTCCATAACTCATCTTACATTGGCTAAACTTTTGTATAACTAAGGTTTTATATAGTTAGTATTTTGATAAGTAATGCTTTTAGTATGACTTTTTATAGAATGGGTGATGGCTAAGAGTGAGTTTTTTTTTTTTTTTTTTTAAGTTTGTTGGCTTTAGTCAACCTTAAAAAAGATTTGAGCATATGAATTAATCAATATCTATTGTTTCCTGGATGATGGTGCTTTGAGTAATAATTATGGCGAAAGCACCCCAAAATCTGCTCTTTTTCATCCATTGCATTCCACTAGTTATCAAACTTTTGCCATACTCTCTTATAGATTAAAAATCAATCCACTTTTTTTTGGCTAGCAAAAGTTTCCTGGAAATGATCCCACCAAACCCTTCCTTAAATGGAAAAAGAGGTAGTAATCTTGAATTCTCGGTGGCAGCATTTCACTATGAAATCATATACCAATAATGATGATAGCTGAGCATCGATGGAATCATTCACTATTGGTGGATGTATTTGTAGCCAATCTTAGCATTAATACATGTCATTCGGTCAATGAGTAACTTGCATATTCACCTGACCTTCATTTTAGGGCCATCAAACCATACTTGTGCTCAACAAGATTTAAAAAAAATTGAAGCAAATCTCCATTTATCACCCAAACAATGGACAACATAAAAAATTTGCCTAAATAATGCATCCAATGTCATTAGTGCTAGGTTGTACACAGTTGAACTTTTTCTTATAGAACTTTTTAGCATAACTTTTTATGTCTATTCAAATAAAGATAGAAGCTCCTTTCAAAAGTTTGCCCTCTTTACTTTGGGAGTAGTTCAAGCCCTGCAAGTGAGGACTTCATGAGGGGTGCATGACTAGTTAGGACTGTTGGGTATCAAATAGTTTGCCATTGTATAGAGAAAAATTAAGTATTGAAAAGATTGTAATTAATTTCTTACTGCCATTGTAATGTGGTGTTCCCACTCTACAACCATGTAGTAGCATTGACTACAAGCTCAAGATGGTCTTTTACTTCATTTAAGGCTTGCAACCTGCTGATTTATTATATTTGACTGTAAAGTTTATCTTCTAATTCATGTGAATCCCAAAGTAGAAGTTAAGCAGTTGGGTTTATGTCGTCACTGATAGTAGTTGCCTAGTGGGAAGGACGCTCTAAGGAGTTTAAAACATTTGATCCACACATAATTATGGATGATAAAATTTCTTTGTTTAAGTTCTATGCACCTAAGGTCAACTATGTGATATAATCAATATCAAATTGTTGGTATGGAAGTTTATACATAGTAAGCCATGTAGTTCAATTAGCTTATTATTTTAGAATTCATTGAATGAGATTAACTTTTAAAAGCCCACTAAATTCGTAAGCGAATAGGGCACTCTAAGGTTCCTTGCCTTACCTCCAATGAAGGGATTTGCATTACAAGGCCCTTGAAAAAAGTTTTGATCCATTTTATTCTTCTATTGGTATGAGTGAAATTTCTTATGAAGTTCAATGTTCCCTTGAAAAAGTACAGTGCAATGGTTTTAAAATGGGCTTGAGGAACCATTCTTTTAGTTGTTATTTAATCCGTCAACTCATCTAGGGAGAAAGCTCCAATGGGCCTAATGAAATGCAACATTACTAGTTCATTGAGCCAATTGATGTCCATGTTACAGTACATAGTGATGAGGACTAAAAAAAAATTATGTTGAGATTGAAGAAGGTGGATATGTTGATGATAAGCTATTCCTCAATGTTGATTATGTTGGTCTTGTTGATGGTGATAAAAAAATATGATAAAATGTGAACTTGAGGTATTAGAGTTTTTGTTTAGCATGAAAGAGAAATTTGACTCAATATGGATGCACTAATATAGATAAATACATGATGTCCATAGTTGTAGTATCATGATTTACAAGTTATTATGGGCAATGAGCCGATGACACATGTATCTTAGAGAAGCTAGATGAGCCGATGACACATATGTATCTTAGAGAAGCCAGTTATATAGTTTATTGTCAGTGATCTTGAGCTACTTGCTACCCATCTCCTTCATCCATCACCTTATTTGGAAGTTATAAAAAATGAACAAAAAATGATTACAAAGAATTGCCTTGTTCTTATTTCTATTTATAGATGTGGGAAGATGTATTTAGCCCTCCTCTTATTTGGATGTGTGTGCTATTATAACGTTGATTATTGACCCAAATAAAGGGTGAATTTCATCATAATATATTAAGGACATAATAGAATGGGATGAGTTATCTAATATGCTAATTTCTTTGATCCAATTTAATATATATGTCAAGGATATAAGATCATAATTCTTGGTCAAACAAAAATGTTGTTATCAAAACTTTTAGAGTGGAGGAGTCATCCTATTAATTCTAAGGAATGATTGCTGAGTGTTCAAGAGAGATCAAGAAATATAATAACCAACGTGTCACGGTCACGGTCATGATCTGATTAGAGTGATCAAAATCTTCCAACTTGTCATATAGTATTTCAAATAGATCATGCCTTTGAGGAGCTCTTAGATCTTTGCCATCCATGTAAAACTCTAGCAATAGAATGATCTCAACTGCTAGAGCCTCTTTAATGAGCGTTCTTCAAATACCACTGGAGACCCAACTGCTACCTTACTTGATATAGCTGAAATCAAGTCGAATAAGAGCAAATGATGTTCATTGAGAGCAGCAACTTGTGAACAACAAATGTATGTTGTATGTTGTGCTTTAAAGGTTGATATGGATCAAATGCTTCAAGTTAAAATGTCCAATGATGAAGAACCTGGATATCTTTTCAAGTGCAGTTCAAGAATAAGTTTTGAAGCATAGAGAATATATATAGTTAAATGGTAACTAAGAAGTTGTGGGAAAAAACAGCTCAAGTGTTCTGTGTTTTTGATGGATACATGATGTGAGCATCTCCTTTGGCTTTAATGAAGTATGATAGCTTTCAAACAATTGTGGAGGCTTTTTGATAATTTGATTCTTGAAAGAAACCTCCAACTAGCACAATTTTTTTTCTTGCTTGAAAAAAAAAGTACAACACATGCAAAAATCATTATAATCTCATAAAGAAATTTGTTTCAAATATGCCTATTCTCTTATGGTTGATGGTTGAACAACATGTCACAATGAAAACGATCAATGATTTTTTCAGTTAATTGTTCAAGGTGAACCTTATGTATAATCTTTCATTTGTCCTTATGTTTGTTAAATCTAAACAATCTTATTTTTCTACTTTTGACATTACGTTTTTGTGTGTGCTTTTGTTTTGACTATTTTTTTCTTATGTTATTGGGTTATTGATTTATTATCCATAGCTTTTATGATTTGTTTTTCTTTCTAAGGAGCATGCTGGACATTGTGCACGTTATGTGATGTGCTATGGCTATAAAGGATCCTGGTGTCATAGTGCACGATTTGCTATGGCAAATATGCTCTTAAGATTGCGTCTTCTCACTATCAATAGTTCAAACTACAGAGCATTCCTGCATTATTGATTAATTTTTTCATTATTTAATTTTATCCCCTCACATTCATCTGATGCAGTTGACGAACTTAGCATACTTTGGTTAGTTTCTATTTACCTTTTTTTGCACTTGTAGTATTTCCCAATTTTTATTGTTTTCATTGAAGGATATTGATATTAATAAGCTTTGGCGAACTGCTCCTGCTGCTGGTTGGAGACCATCATCTGCTCCACGGTCTTATTGGCCTTGTATGTAAATTTGCACTCTTTTGAGACGATTTTTTTTTCTGAAAATTATATAATTTTGGTTTGACATTTCTAGTAAGTCCATTTCATCGAATTAATAATCATTATGTTTTATTGGGATTTCCTTGTTTTAGCTCCTCCAACTGAGAGCAATGGCTACTTGAGAGTTCGTTGTAATGGTGGTTTAAATCAACAACGCACTGCGGTATGATATTTTTTAAATTTATCTTTCAATTCAAATTTCTGTCCATTAGATAGGGCATGTAAATTAATTATTTCCCCATCTTGAAATTAGTAGCATTATTTTTAGCAGCACAAGCATTTTTTATATTGAATTTCAGTTATTACACGAAGCCACCCTTTATTTCTGGCTTTCTTACGGTATCTCCTCAAGGAATAAGTTTAGAAACTTCCCCATATAGCATTAGTATGCTAACTAATTATGCAGTATAAAAATTTTAGAATTAAAAAGCATGTCTTGCACCTGTATGCTTGCTTTATTGAGGGGCTATTTGGTTGATTGTAAAGTAAATATAGATTTTTTGGTTGTCTGTAAAGTGAATGCGAGGGAACTATTTTTTCTGTTTGGTTGGGTATATGCAGAGTAAAGTAAAATTAGTGTATTTTATGAGCTTTTAAAAGTTTGTCTCGAATAACACCTGCTGGAGGGGCAGCAGGAAAGTTCTGAGCTAGAGAGGTACCACTATGCATTCCCACAAACACTTGGCGTGCGAAAACCTGTAGCAATGTGGTCTTGGATGGCTGAATTGGGGAATTCTATACACCTACTTGCTTCGTTAGCATTGACATTCACATTCTTCCCAGCTTTTTTGTCCAAACCATCACAATTGCTCAAAGATAAATCAATATTCCCACATGGAATGTTCCAGTTCATATTGCAAATTTGCATGTTTGGATCGACGGGCTGTTCACGTAAGGAGTTCCAAACTTCTTCCAGCTTATGGTCGGAATCATCAGCTAACTAGGATTTGTTGCCTTTGCAATTAGCACTAAGGGCTTCCATTTTGTCATCCGTTCCAGTCGAAGCAACATTACCATCCATTCGTTCATCCTTTGGGAAATCATAGCAACAACGAAATAGAGAAGACGCAAAGCAAAATCTGGATGCCTCCTAATCTAATCGAACAACAGTGAAGTTCCGAAGATATCGTGCCCTCCTTTCTGACAAGAAGGGAATTTTGTCGAAGGAACAAGGTCGATTAGCAATGAAGGGAACTGAAGAAGCTACGGGTGCAGAACTTGACCTCATGCGAAGCACCAGAGTCTAAAGGCCGAAAAATATGGGAAGAAACAAAGATGCTCCCGCAGGCTTCTCCCTGTCGCGCCCACGAATTATTTTTTTTTGCTCGATTTGAGTGGGTTTTGTTTACGTGTAAAATAAGCTACAACGGGGAGTTTTCAATACATTATGATTTTACTTCACTTTACATTCTGTCCAACCAAACATCAAAAAATAAAAAAAAGAAATGCATTCATTTTACACTGTATTACTTTTTTCTCCAACCAAATAGCCCCTCAAATAAACATATTTTAAGTAGCTTACAACCTTCTGGATAAAAGGGAAATATGTTTTGCCATGCATTATATAGTTTAATCCTTCAATATCTTGAGCAATAAACTTATTATCTTATCTTTTTTGTTTAGATATGTAATGCCGTTCTTGCAGCACGTATCATGAATGCTACGCTCGTGTTGCCTGAGTTGGATACCAATTCTTTTTGGCATGATGAAAGGTACTTCATTTCCATTTTCTGGATTATTTTCTTTACTTTAAATGTTCTGGCTTACATTGCATATTCAATTTTATTGTCTAGATTTCCTTGAATATACCTTGGAAACACAAACATCATGTCTTTTAAACTAATGTATGGTGTGTTAACCATTTTACACTTTGTGTGCACAAAGCTTTTTTTGACAAAGCATGAGCAAATCATAGGCATTCATTTTTATGTAGAGCAACATTTTGTTTTGGTAACTAATGATTTCTTTATCGTTTCTGATTTTGTATTCTTGTGTGTAGATAACTGAGTTCAAATATTTGTGTTGAAAGTGAAATTTTTTATTAATGTATCTTATTAGGAAGGCTTATTTTCACAGCACCTAAAAAATCTTTTCTTGCAGTTTGTTTATTGTAATAGCTGTCTGGACATTTCGACATAATACTAATTTGGACTTATTATAAATAAACCCAGTGGTTTTCCAGGTGTATATGACGTTGAACATTTCATTAATGCTTTACGCTATGATATTCGCATTGTTGCAAAGCTTCCTGAAATCACTTCTCATGGGAAGGCCAAGAAGTTGAAAGCTTTTCAGGTTAACTTTGCTTGGCTCTTTTGTTTACATTTCTATTCTAGGAGTCCATTCTCAACAAGAAATTTATGTGCAAAAACTCAAATTGTTTTGTAATATAAATTTGTGCCTGTGTCTTTTTAACACCCAGATTCGACCACCAAGGGATGCTCCTCTGAACTGGTATACTACAGTTGCTTCAAAAAAGATGAAGGATCATGGTGCTATTTACTTGACTCCTTTTTCACATCGGCTGGCAGAAGAGATTGATGATCCTGAACTTCAGAGATTAAGATGCAGAGTGAATTATCACGCACTAAGATTCAAGCCACATATTATGAAATTGAGCCATGATATAGTTGATAAACTCCGATCGCAGGGGCATTTCATGTCGATACACCTCCGCTTTGAAATGGACATGCTTGCATTTGCAGGGTATTTTCTGCCATACTAAAATTTTATTTGTAGAATTTATTCCTATTTGTGCAGGTCTTAACTCCATCCATGTGCTTTTTCAAAACATTTCAAGGGCTTCTTATCATTTGTATGAAATATTGAAGTCTAGAATCTTACTTCATCAATGAGCCCTCATAACATGAATATTCAAACACGTTCTGTTTTGGACCCTGTGTTCCTCCTGCACATCCACTTTTGAACTCTACTGACTTAGGCATATATTGCACATTATGGCCATGTTTTTCCTGAAGACGGGCTTGAGCAGGAGCACATGCCGCTGCTTTGTGGCTGCTGCCTGTATTTTTGACGTTTAGTACTAAAGAGCTGCAGCCGTAGTTGTGACATTAGGTTGCTGCAATGCCATAGAAAGATCTTGAAAGTATGCTGAGTCAGACGCCATGTGGTCCAGAGAAAAATTGATGTAAAATGAATTATTTTCATGTAAAGTTAGTTTTTTGATGTTTTATTTGAATTTTAGTGTAGTTGCTTTTCATGTGCAACTACACTGAATGTAGCCAACCCTTACCACGTCCATAACAGCTACTGGCGGCATTTCTGCGGCGTAAGGGAGGTAAGGCCACAGTCGTTGAGGCAACATCTTCTTAAGGTGGATTTTTGGAATCATAAGCAAAGTCTTATTTGGCTAATATGTGAAAGAAGCTATGTTACCTAAATTAATAATGAGTGGGGAATGAAAAGTGAAGCGGATGCAAGTGAGCGACAATTTGCATCATATGAGGGAAGACAAGTAATATCTGGAAGACTCACGTGAGTGATGTAGGGTGAAACATCAATGAGTTGTTGTGAAGTTGCAATTGTTGGAGAAGCGGGCATTTGTAATTGGGTCTGTTATATATATAAAGAGAGAATAGCTATTCACATTGTAGCCCCAAAGATTTTATTCATTATAGTAGAAGAGACTCTATGGTTTCCAAGAAAATGAAGTGAAAGAAAATAAGAAAAACATTCTAATAAAAAACCACCTTCAAATATTCCCCAAGTACTAATCACAGAAAAAAAAGCAAAATATGTCTAGTCAATCATCTTCTTGATGTTGAACATAAGTTTGAATCGAGCAGAAGAAGAATAAGAAGAACCCAGAGAGGGGGGTCATTTGAGCCATCTCAAACAACTAATTCATAGCCTTCTACATCGTATCCCTAGAAATTCTATTTTTTATAGTAGAAGAGACCCTAAGGTTTAATAAGAAACACATTCTAATAAAAAAATCACTAGCAAACAATGGCCCTCAAATGTAAGAAAGTATTCCCTAAATACAAATCACTAAAATTGTCTAATCAATCTCATCCTTGACATTTAATGTAAGTTTGGATCAGACAGCTACTTTCAATGCCACTTCAAACTCTTTATTGGTAAGTACAAGTAATAACCTAGCAGAGCTAGAGAGAAAAGAGGGCTTTAGGTTGCCTTGTTATGGGAATCAAATGTTTATATGATAGGTAGTCTATTCACCACCGTTTTTAGGTAATTGATGAATGATGAAATTTCCAGAGTTGGTGCAATCAAATGATGTCTCAGTGTTTACTTGCATTCCCAAAAAGGCATTTTATTACATTTTAATTCAAATTCCTTGGTAGATGATAAATAGTTAAATGTGTCTTCTCTCCCGACGCATTGTTATAGTTATCTATGCCAAATAAGGTAGTTATTTTGTCATATCAATCAGTTTAGAAATTGTATTAAATAAAGAAGGTAGGTATTTTGTGAAGAAATGGCTCAAAACAGTCTCTTGATTATTCACAATTGACTAATTTAGTCATAAAGTATCATATTTCTCTTATTTAGTCTCTTGAATATATAAAATTAATTCCAAGTGACCTCTCATGTTGAAATTGATGAAAATTTGGATTAAAAATTAATCCTAATTTAGTCATCAATAATACAAAATTGATCCAACTTAGTTCTGTGGGCTCATTTGAGATTAATTTTATATAGTAAATGGATTAAATTAGAGAAATGTGATAATTTTGAACTAAATTGGCTACATACAAGTAGCCAGGAGACTGTTTTGGACTTTTTCCCCCTTTTTAATCTACATGCTTGACATGGCATAAAATTTAATTAAGAGGAAAAATTGATAAATGATTATGTTTGAGGTGCATTGTTAGTTAAAAATAAACTTTAATAGTTTGAACATGAACAAGAAAAGACAAAAAATGCATCAAAAGAAGCGTTTGTAGAAGTTGCTCAAACAGATCCGTACAATATAATTTTTAACATATCATGCAATACTCAACATGGATGAATGGAGAATGTAGATACATCAGCCGACCCCAAATAGTTCTGAGAAGCTTAGATATTATGATGGTATGATAATTTTTGTTTGCTTAGCCTAAGAAATAGGGAATGCAAGGTGCAAAGCATAGTCACTGGGATCTCCCTAATGTTAATTCTGATGCCAATTTGCAAATATTTTTTTATTTTTTACATTCGTACCTCAGTATTCAAGATGTACCTGTCACGCTCAATCTCAGTTTTGGAAACCCAAAGACCAACTTTTTTTATATAATTTGGAAGTGAAGTTTATATTAAAATTTTGATGATTGATGTGGGAACTTTTTAGCAGCAGGTCATTTTACGTTGAAGACATTATTTACCATACGTAATTGTCTAACTTCTTGCCTTAGTTTTGCATTATTTGCAATCTAGGCACGCAAACTTGCATTATCATCATTTCAAACTTTTGACATATCATTTTTCTTTGTAACAACACGATTTCAGGTGCCTGGATATATTTACAATAGAAGAACAAAAGATATTGATGAAATATCGAAAAGAAAATTTTGCAGAAAAGAAGCTTGTTTATCGAGAGAGGAGGATAATTGGAAAGTGCCCATTGACTCCAGAAGAGGTAAACTCCTATGTCAATAATCTCTCCATAAATATTTGTTCTCTTTGATTTTTAATCCTAGAGAATATGTTATAAGTACATAACGTCTCCAAGCTAAGGGAGTGTATGGTTACACCAGATACATGTGAGGGTCCTGAATGAGTTTTCTAAATTTGAAGCTTTTAGGGTTGCTATGCCCAAACCTTATAGAATTTAATTTTTTGTACATCATCACCTCATGTTTTCATTACTATTCCACATTCCAAACCTTTTACAAGTGTAACTTCTTATATTTTAATTTTCTCTTTGCTTCATTAGTATTCCATGTTACATGGCATGTTGAAACATTCTAATCAAATTTGCAGCACATGTTCATTTCATTATCGTCACTTTAATTACATCAAAATACCACCTTAAAAATAATCTGACATTACTATCTCATGCATTTCTTGTTTGCGTGTTAGCGTATACATAGATCTAGAATGTACGAATTTTTTTAAAAATATGAAGTTGTATTCTATTACAATGTTAGTTGGACAGGAGCTGCGTTGGCTTTTTTGTTCAAAATGTGAACTCATCTCTATCTTGTGGGGGTTTAACTCTAGCTTTTTCTGCTTTGTTTATATGAAGTTCTATTAAAACCTGCATCATCATTTGTCGGATGGTTCTATGCATTCTTCTGGGTTCATGACGTTGAAATGCCGTATAAATCACAAATTTAACTTAAGGTATACTTGATTTATATTCATTAATTAAAAAAAAAGGAGTATCAGATGGTACACAGTTGTCTGGGTCCAAAAGGTTGACATGCTGTAAAAATCATAAATTTTACTCGTGGAAATGATGGTTTCTATTCATTCAGAGAAAAAAGTCGTAAATTCTCCACTTTTTTTTTTTAATGTATATTTTTTTGTTGCTAGTTGAAATGTTGAATATCTGTTATATGAAGCAAAGTTTCTCTATTACTTTACATGGAAAAAAAATCATAAGAACCATTTTCCGGCCACAATGCCATGAGTAAACTTGTTACTCGATCTCTACTCCAGCTTAAACCCCCCAGTACTCGATCTGGATTTAGGGAAACGAGTAATAAATGCTCTAGGAAGGTATGTGAATAAGTCCATTGATAACTTATTTTATTTGGGAGGAGTTAGAGAGGTAATCGGCTTGGTAATATTACATATTTACCAAGCTTCAAGGAGAGTTAGGCTCATACATACAATTAGAAATTATGCAGAGATGAAAAAGGAAACTTTACAAGTTACCAACAGTAATGCTTCTCACGTGACATTATTTCACCTACCGTACACGTGATGTATTTGAACGGTGCTAGTAATAATGCAGCGGGCAAGCATGAATAAATCATCTCAAGAAAAACCTTTATATTTTTGGTTGCAACTAGAAAAGATCATAGGTTTGGTTAAGCATTTGGGCTGGTGATAGGAAGTGGATACAATTTTTTCAAAATCAACGAACGATAATAAGAGATTAGGAAGAAGATCACACCAAAACTCTGTTTGTCATATTGAAAGGAACGTCTTTTTTTATTGTAATTCTAGTTGGTATTTTTTCTTTTGCATACCTACTGTTCTCTTACTTGGCATAGGATTCCTAGGTTGCACCAGATTCTTTCTAAAGGATCAAAATGGTCTCTGATTATATTAAATGATTATTTTGGTATCTCGAGTCTTTAAAAGAAATCAGAATAGTGCCATGTTGAGACTATTTTGGTTCTTATTTAAAAAGTTGAGGGGTCAAAATGGTAATTTAATATAATTGAGGATTATTTTGATCTTTCATAAAGATTTAATTGATCATTTTGATCATTTTCTTTATTTTCTTATTGCTTTTCTTGTGGGATTCATATTTCAAGGTCATTATTTTCCTTGTGCATGCACACTTCTTTGATTGATTAATATATGCGCATGGATGATTTACCTTGTAAGTTGTAAATCATTTGCAAGTTGTTGTAGATTGATCCCTATCCTAGAATGCTTTTTGGTATATTCACATGAATGATTGAACTTCGAAGTTGTTATTTTGCAAATTGTCATGGAATCTTTCTCACCGTAGAATACATTTAGTTGTGTTAATAAAAATTAATTTTTATTTTTTAATTCATTAATTCTTTCTCATTACCGAATTATTAACTTAAGTCCTTTTTACTGTACACTAGGGGAATGATTTTTGAAATGGGCTCTAATACATTCAGTAGTAATCCAATTATGGATGATACTAAAGATTTATTGATGCATGTTACCAAATTAGATAAGTATTAATCTTATTAGATACATTCTTTTATTAGATATTATAGCTATGCTTGGCTTAGTGAATCTCCAAATCATGTTGCACCACAAAGATGTGATAATATCAAAAAGAGGAATAAATATATGTATAGATTTTTTTTTTCAAATATTGAAGATTGATCATTGATTATTTTGGAGTTTTTAACTTTTTTTGGATTAACTGTTCCTTTGTTGATAATGATTATGTAGCTTTTAGAGGCACTATAGTTCGAAAGGCTTGGTTGATTATTTAATAGATCCCCACGACTATAAAATTATTAGCTCAAGTACGTTTCTCTTCTTATTATGAAAGAAATTGGAGTACACATTTTTTTATCAATTCACTTAAGAGGAACAATATTACTCCTTAAAGGGGTGAAGATTTATGGTCCATTTGAGACCACTGTAGTTTTTAATATAAGTGGTTTTGAAAGCTACTGTGGAGAAATTAGTTTTTTTAAAAATTGTTGTAGAAAGCAATTTTCTTGCACAAACATGTATTAAAAATAATAAAAAAATAGTGGCCAAACAAAAAGTGTGGTTGCGGTTTGAAAAATAAAGCAATAAGAAAGTTGTCCCAAATGAAGCCCTAGTATTTGTGCATACTAATCTTCATCCTTTATTTAGGAAGAGCCGAAATGTACTCAAGGAGAGAGAGTTGTGGGATATTGGTTGGGATATATTAACTACAATGGATGACATTGGAATACTTAAAGTCACTAATCTCTTCCTTTTCGTGCCCCTTTTTGAAAACTGGAATTTCTTGATGATGGTGAATGTGTTGTTGAAGAGGGCCCATGTGCTAGTGTTAATGATAATCATAGTTTTGAGTATGCTAACTTGAATTAGTTATGGTCATGTAGACATTTTATTTGGTTATTTTGAAGCGGGCATTGGTATTTTCCGTTTTTTAACGGTTTTTTAACATTTTGTATGAAATATTGATATTGACAAAATATGTGATAACTGAGAAGGATTAATGAATGCTAATATTGGAGTGTTGTTAATAAATAATAATTTTCATATATGATAAAGCATTTCTTTTATAATGTTTGTTTTTCTTTTGTCATTATAAGGTTTCTTTGCTGACGTATATGTATATAATATCATACTTCACCTAGTGATGTCTTTAGTAGAAAATAATTGAAATTATATATTTTATATGAATAATTTACTGGACAGAATAAAGTGATGCCTTTAGTAAGCAATTAATTGTGAAGATACCAGGTTCATTATACAGCCAAAAGTTGTTGATTCTCAATATCACTATTTCGCTCCCTTCATCTTAACATAACCTTAAAGATCTTGGGTAATTTTAAGAAAAAGGAACAGAAGAGCAGCATGGATGTAATGAGCTGCAAATTCATGCATTATAATATAACATTATCTCCCATCTTTCTGCAGGTGGGCATCATATTACGTGCCATGGGTTTTGACAACTCTACTCGCATCTATCTTGCTGCTGGTGAGCTTTTTGGTGGGGATCGTTTCATGAAGCCTTTCCGAGCCCTCTTCCCACACCTTGAGAATCACAGTACAGTAATGGGTGCTGAGAAGCTTGAAGACAGCGCTCAGGGATTGGTTGGTGCTGCTGTTGACTACATGGTTTGTCTCCTCTCTGATATTTTCATGCCCACATATGATGGTCCCAGCAACTTTGCGAACAACCTATTGGGCCACCGTCTCTACTATGGCTTCCGAACGACGATCCAGCCTGACCGAAAAGCATTGGCTCCCATCTTTATTGACAGGGAAGAGGGTCGTCAAGCAGGTTTTGAGGAACATGTTCGTCAAATAATGTTCAAAACCAAGTTTGGGGGGCCTCATAAACGAGTTCATCCAGAGTCTTTTTACACTAACTCTTGGCCTGAGTGCTTCTGCCAGATGTCACCTCAGAACCCAGCTGATAGATGCCCGCCTGATAATACGCTAGCAGTTCTGGAAGGCCAGTTGCAAAGTGGAGGGAGCCATGAGGTGGAAACCGTTAAGGGTCCCAATAAGACGGTTTTAGTGGAGTAAGGCTTCGTTTGGGACCGCTTTTTTACTTCTTCTTAAAACAACTTTTTAGTACAAAAAATTTAGGCTTCATTTGGAGTGGCTTTCTTACTACTTCTTAAAGCTGCTCTTTAGTACAAATGTTTTAATTTTTGTACTGAAAATTTGCTTCAGGAAGTGGTACGAAAGCCATCCCAAACGAAGCCTTAATTTTGTGCTGAAAAGCTGCTTTAAGAAGCAGCAAAAAAGACGTCCCACATGAAGCCTAAAAGTGGTTGGCATGCATGAATACACATTTTATGCTCTCTTTCATGCTTGATTTTGCGTGGTCTTTGGAAGACAAAAGATATTCACAAACGATACTGTATTATTCGGTCAACTTGGAACCTACTGGGAGCTTTGGAAGAAAGGCTAAGTGGTGCAGATTACAAAATGTTATTTGATTAATATCAGCTGAGTAGGCTTTTTAGTATGTAGATCTTCTCGAAAAAAAAAGTTATTATCCATTTATATGGTTTATATTTGTATTTGAAGCTACTAGTGTGCAAATACGCAGGGAAAAATGATGATTTAATATCTGTAAGAGAAAAAGGAATGATTGTAACATTTATATACGGCAATATTAGTAAAAATGGTTCACACTTTATTGGCTTGACGTATCAAATGTGTTATATCTGGTGCATGTACATTACAGGAGATTCAGGCTGCCTTGAAACTTTTTCAAGGGTTTGCTGTTGTATTCAAATCGGTTCATGAAAAATATCTAATCTTACTATCAGGTCTTACTTCAAGAGCAAACTTGTAAGTACAAGTAGAGAGTGTTGAAGAAGAGCAGGGGAAGATTAGAGATCTCAGAAATAGAAGATTTATACTAGTCCAGGAGGCCTCGTCTATGAATTTTGTATGTCTTGAACAGGAACTTTTATTCTGTCCAGTGAACGTACGCAGAGGAAGGTTCGGTTTTAGGCAAAAGATTTTAATTTCAAATCATTTAAGCATAACTTTTAAATGGTAATTAAAATCTTATCTTAATTTTATAATTCCATAAATTCTAAAAACTTAATTGTAAGATAAGATCTTAGGTTTTAAATCTTTCTTTGCATTAGTCAATTTTCTAAAAATTCCTCTTTATCTCAAAATTATATTCTAAGAAAAAATAACATTTCTTTTGAAGTATTTTCTAAATTAACTTTTATAATTTAAATTTTATAAATACTAAAATATTTTTTTACCTTCTCTTAGTCTTCCTGAGCCCATGCGCGCCTCTCCCTTCCTTTCTCTTTCTCTCAATCTTTCTATGAATCCCTCTCAGTCTTGCCCCATATACCGCTATCTCCTTCTTTCGCTCTCTCGGTCTTTCTCTCAGTTAGCCTTCATTCGTTCATATCATTCATTTTTTTTTTGCTAGAGAGTGAATCGGAGATCTCACATGAGTCGCTACTTTTTACATTTGAATGTGTGTTCTCGCTCATTCGCACGCTACATGGAAAAATATAAAAAATGTAATGTTACACATATTACATTTACAACACTATATTATACTATATATGTGTTGTACCCAAATTAGTGGGAGAGCTAGGTTGGAGGATTCATCTCTAGTCGATCGGTGTGGAGGTTGAGCTCCTTGGTGGCCGACGCATTGTGAGTTGGGGCATAGTTAAGCGGGCTTAAGGAAGTCGAGGTTTGATTAGGGTTGTCAAAATAGGTTAACAGATGGAGTTTATGTCCAACATGAAATTGATCCCATCTGAATCTGATCAACCCAAACCCGACTTGTTAATAAACAGGGCAAAAATGTGGAACCGAACTTAACCCGCTAGCAACCGAATGATCCAAACCCGACCTAATAACCCATTTTGATTAATTATTTTTATCTTTTAAACAATACATTTTAGATTAATTAAAACAAAATAAGAAAATTATACTAACAAATAAAAATCTAAGAAAAATAATTTAAATGGTTCATTTTGGGTAAAAATTGGGTGGTGAGTCAACCAAAACTCGACTCGTTTAATAAAAGGGTCGAAATTCTAGACTCAAACTTGACCCGTTTAATAAACGGGTAAACCCCGAACTAGCATTTTTAGGGTCGGGTCATTTTTTGACACCCTTACTTTTGATGTGTTGGTGTATATTGTTTGTTGGGGGGGTTGTCTCAGGTGAAAGTTTTTCTACAATTGAGATTGGGTGAGGGATGATGTTCTTGTAATAAGAGTTGACGATCGAGGTGGCAGAGAGTGATAAGTTATTTGCTTAATGCACCACCCTTGACTCGCCCTGTTTAGAGCGGACTGCTTGATTGATTCAAGCTCGTGTCCAAGGATTTTCTTCTTGAAGGCAAGTGTCTTTATCATGATTCAACCACTACCTTGTAAGATACCTATGAAGGCATTTATATGTATACACCTACTTGCTTTATTTGTCTTCTTTTCGAGTGGAGGTTTGTTAGTGCCTTGTTGCATGGTGTCAACAAAGGAATTTAGATGGCTAGCCCCATTAAAATAAATTACTCACATAAAAGCTAGCCAAAACAATCAATTAAAACTCATCCATTGTGCCAAATTAAATTGCTTGTAATTCAACCAAGACATCAATACATTTGCATATAAGCATGAAAGTAAAAAAAGTTTGAATACAAACCACATTAATGACATCTTATACAATATTTTTCGTGATGAACACTACCAAGTATTTGCCTCACCCATGTTGTGATTTGTATAGCTTGTGGCTCTCACAACGCAAATTTTCATCATCTTGTCCTAGTATGATTTTGTCAGCTTCGAAAGTTGGCATGTACTCATTGAGTGGTTGATTTCCTTCTCTTTTCTATAGTTACACAAAATGTTGCTAAGTTTGAAATACAAAGTATCTTTTCTAGAAATTTAATCTTGATAATAATTTGAGCAATTTAGAGTTTACGAAGATCAGGAAGATTCAGGTTCCTTATAGATGCAAACCCTCATGATTATGCACATCTAATATCTATTGCTCAACAACTCTTGATTAAAGGCTTTAATATGTTAATTCACTATGTATGTATTAGTGGATTGATTGTATTTAATTTTGGATTTGGGGTATGGTTGGAGATCAATGCAATTAGGATATTATGATTATGCCATGCTAGTACATGTGGTAGGCCTAGTTTATTGACACGAAGTGTTAGAAGTTCACATCGCCCAAGAAGTTTGATTAGCAACCAATTTTTTCCAGAGTAGTAAGTATGATCAAGTTGATTATTCTATTTAATGAGATTTGGTGATCTATATTGGAATTGTTTCAAGAGTGCCAATATGGATGTCAGTAGTTCTGTGTTTATATGTGATTGTTAGTGTTTAATTAGCTCACTAGGCTTGTTAGAATTGTATTGAAGTTGGCTTAAATCAGCATGATTCGGTGACTAATAGCTAAGTCCAATAACCAATTTAGAGAGGAGAATAATATAGAGTGTACAATTAATTGGTTAGGTGTTATAAGAAAATCTTCAAGGTTTTAGTTCACATCAGCATTTGACTTGAAGCAACCCACACAAGAAACAATTTTAGGTTAGCACCTACATGGTAAGGAATATTTTGATGTAACTATGAGACACCTCAAATTAAAAACCATAAGTTGAAAGGTTAGAATGCAATTGATTTGAAAGTTTCCATGCACTATTGTTTAAGATGATTTTTAATGAGCTTAATGTCTTCGTATTAACTTAGAAAGGATTTATGCCTCAATTTAGTTCAGATGGCCTAAGAAATTTTTTGGGTTTGCTAATTCAAACGACTTTATGCATGTTTGAGAACTTATCTCAATTTGGTAGAGAAATAGCCGAAGGGATTATAGAATTTAGAAATTTGGGTGGCTTCATAAGCCAATATAAATTTTTATTTCTTAATAAGGTAGTGGCAATACAATAACTTTAGAAATTGATTTTAGCTTAGAATTTGGACTTGTGTGGGGTGTGTTTTCATGCTAGATTTGATTTAGTTGGTGCATATATGAAGATTTGGTATCTTTGAACTTATTAGAGATAGTCTAAATTTAATGGTATTGTAGCCAAAGAGTGAGGCCTTCGACCTTGACATGAAAACAAACCATAAATATTTTTATCTTTGGGTGAGGTTTTATCATAAAAGATAGTGGATGTATTATGTAAATATATTGCAAAAATATTTTTTGGTCGATCATTTTATTTTGTAATTGATGCATGGCTTTGAGATAAATTGGAATTTTGGAAACTCATTACTCTATTTATAAATTATTTGAGGTGATGGATGCTCATATTTAAGTTGATTTAATTTCTCATTTAAGCTGGTTTAATTTCTCATTTAAACTTTGATTTATGGTTATAAATTTTTTATGAGGTTTATGCATACGTTTTATTTCTCTAAATTAGAGAGGCCTAAAAATGAGTCTTATAACCTTGCTCTCTAGACAATGTAGCCAAAGGTTATGAGGTACTCTTTTTTTATTTATTTTGAAGGATTTGTATATACAGCCCCAATTTTAGGTAAAAGTCCAAAAAGTTTGATTGGCTTATTTGTTTAACATTTCATAGTATTGTGATTTGGGATCTCTTGGAGGATTGGGGCTCATAGGGTAAGGAATTTTTAATAATTTTAAGGAAGCCTAGAAGGTGAAAATAAGGATTAAAAAGGAGATGTTCATACATACTTTTTAAAGTGGAGTAGATTGAAAGCATGCTCACTTGTATGATTGAGGAAAGGGATTATATTTGTTACTTCCTCCTCTCTCTTTGTTTACCAACTCCGTGGAGTACTTGATGAGGACATCGTCAGCATTTTCGACACGTGTACCATCAGGAGACGTCGGAGATTGACGGCTACGATCATGAGTTTATTTTGAGTCATTTTATGTAGTAGTTTATTTGATTTTTATGTTTTTCCGTTTTTGCCCTTATGGGTGGTTAGTTGCTTTTGTAGCCCAAGGGGCATTTTAGTCTTTTGTTTTCTTTGTCATTGTGAGGCCTATTTATATGACCCTTCTCTTGTAATAGTTTGGGTTTGGATGAAATGAAATTTACTACTTGTTCTCTTTGTGAGTTCCTCCCTCCAAGATCTCTTAGTGAGTTCACCGGAGAAATGTAGAGCAATGTAGAACCGGAATGATATACCATAAGTGAAGGGTCAGCTGTACTGAACTTAAAACCAAACTGTTGAAGATGACCGGATAATGTGGCGTACCATTGACGAGGAGACTGCTTCAAACCATAGATTGCTTTCTTCAATTGACACACATGATCAGGATAAATAGAATCAATGAAACCCGGAGGTTGCTTCATGTATACACGGTCAGAGAGATGCCCATGAAGAAAGGCATTCGAAATGTCTAATTGAGCAATAGACCAAGAATTATGAAGAGCTACAAGTATAAAAACCCGAACCATGGGCATCTTAGCCACCGGGCTAAAAGTTTCGAGATAGTCTAAACCAGGAGCTTGATTGAAGCCTTGGGCAACCAAACGAGCTTTATATCTAGCAATGCTTCCATCTGAATTGAGTTTGGTTCGATATATCCACTTGCAACCGAGTACATTGTGAGTTTTGTCCGCTGGAATAAGGTCCCATATACCTTGTGATTGAAGTGCTTGAAATTCGGTTGACATAGCCTTCCGCCAATGTTCCAACTTAGATGCCTGCAAAAAACTAG